TAAAGTAAAAATATTATTGCTGTTCCGAGCTATATGTGACTTCATGGCTTTCCTTTTTCTCTCATAATTTAGCATGTTATGCTCATTATTTGTAAAGTCAAAGCTTCAGTACCTTTGTATTATTATTTTGTCTGTTGATCACAGATGAGAAAATTGTATGGTGCCAAGTTTGTTTCTTTTGATGCTGTCGAAGCATCAAAAATCAGTGCTTTAGTCATGGCTGTGAAGAAAAGGGTTTTAAAGAGTGCTTTTGTGAAGCAGATTTCTGTCCAGATGCCTCACAATTGGAGTAAAAGGTCATGCAGCCTAAACCTGTACTAGAAGATTTACTAGAGCTTATAGAAATACTACCCTTTGCTCAGAACTACCCTATTTATTGAGGTGTTGTGTAGTTTCCAGGCTGTATGGCTGTGCTCTAGCAGCATTTTCTCAGAGGTGGTTTGCCATTGCCTTCCTCTGAGACTGAGTGTGACGATCCAAGAGGAGAGCATGGCCATGCAGCTCGGAAACCACACAACACCCCAGTGATTCCGGCCATAAAAGCCTTCAACAATAGCCTATTTATTGTATTGTCGAAGGCTTTCATGGCTGGAATCACTGGGTTGTTGTAGGTTTTTTCAGGCTATATGGCCATGTTCCTGACGTTTCGCCTGCATCTATGGCAAGCATCTTCAGAGGTAGTGAGGTCTGTTGGAACTAGGAAGAAAGGTTTATATATCTGTGGAATGACCAGGGTGGGACAAAGGACTCTCGTCTGCTGGAGCTAGGTGTGAATGTTTCAACTGACCATCTTGATTAGCATTTGATGGCCTGGCAGTGCCTGGAGCAATCTTTTGTTGAGAGGTGATTAGATGTCCCAGATTGTTTACCCTCTGTTGTTTTGCTGTTGTAATTTTAGAGTTTTTTTAATACTGGTAGCCAGATTTTGTTCATTTTTGCCTATTTATTGTTTGCTATTTGTAGCACAGTGATTTCTACAGATTAATTCGAGTTTAAGGCATGTTTCCATGTTGAAAATCCCATGGGGAATAGAGTTCAATTCAGTTTGTTCCTTGGCTATCTAAAGGTGAAGGTTGTCTGTGTGACCAAAAACTAGACAGTTGCTTTCACTCAGGAAACCAAACAATAGTGTTTGCATAGGACTTGCAGGGCCATCCATTTTCTGAGAACCATCATTCTCATGTGAATCCAAGACTACTGCTATTCCTTGGTTCCCTGCACATTCACAGGGAAAATGCAGCACAGAGGGAAATGTGTGTACGTATTAAGCTTATGCATGTAAGCCGAGATTTGGCTTTCTGATCTAAGCCACCATTTTAATTCTGGATATTTGTTTCACCAGAAAATCTTTGGATGTGGTTACCCTCTTGTAACAACATTATAAAGAGCCATTGCGGTGTAATGCTTTGAGTTTTTAACTGTAACTCTGGGAGCCCAAGATTCAAATCCCAGCTCAAAAAATAGAAATATCCTGAAGGACCTTGGATAGTCATACTCTCAGTCTCAGAGGAAGTTAATGGCAAACCATCTCTGAATAATTCTTGCCATAAATCAGAAATGACTTGAAGGCACACAACAACAATAGTGCCATGTAGATAATAATTTTGAAATTTTGTTAGATAAGAGTTTTTCACCTGTCAAATTTCTAAAGCACCCAATTTCTTTAAATAGAGTCTTACTGCTTTGATGCAAATGATACTTTCAGCAAGGTGTTAATGAAAACAATGGGCTGAATTGATTGATCATTCCAGCACAAGGCAAATAACTTACATATATCCCTCCCCCCCCCCCCACAAAAAAATGGTTGTCTTTACTATTGTTAGTTGCTTTAAGCTCCAAGGGGGTGGGGGGGTGTGTGTGTGTGTGTGTGTGTGGCTGGGCTATAAATAAGGAAGGTGATGATAATGGTTCATTGTGATACAGGAGAAAAGAGTATTTAAAGAGGACAATGGCATGGTCATGCCTTTTGCAGATAATATTTTATGTTAACAGCATTTGAATAGGAAATCTTGCAGTTATTTAAGAACTGCAAGATCACCAAGGCAGGGGGAAGTGACACGTTTTCCTAATAACACCACAGAACTAATAATTTAACTGATAACTCAATGATTGTTATGCAGTCCAGCTTTCTGTTTTCCTTAGTGAGGGAAAATATTGTCAAACAGATAAGACTTTTGTCTGCAGGTGATATATCTAGTTCCTTGTGCTGTATACTTCTATGGCCCTCTTAGCAATAATGTAAATATTAATACAGTGAATTCATAACATAGACTATAAAGGTCATTCTTGCTCTGGCTGGTAGACATACACTTTTTGTTGTGATGCAAAGGATAGTCACTAAAAGATTCGCAGACCATACATTACAATCAGTGGAACTGATTTCCATAGTTTTATTTACCCATGTCTAACAAAATATGTCCTCCAGGTGTTTTTAAGCCCTTCAGTGCAGCTCTATGGTATTCTTGGGTTCAAAGTCCTGCATTTCATTAGGGTTTGCTATTTTCTGCAGTTAGGCAGTCTAGGAACATATCCCATAGAGGTAAAGAGGTCATTCTTTGTATATTTTAGTGTGTAAATATGGAAAGTGCTCTGCCTTCAGGAATTTACAATATAAGTTTGAGCCGTGGCAAGTTGGCAAAGAAAAGGAAAAACAGGAGAAAATGAAGAAATTGCTGTTCAGCATGTAAAGCTATAAAAAGTGTCAAGTGGGAAGCTGTCTAAGCAGGTCCTGCATGCTTCTTGCAAAGACCCTTCCCTTGTTCTCAAAGAGGAACAGATTGACCCAAAGTCAGCACTGGGGTATGGGTTTTGCCTTCACTTCTGACAGAGCTTTCCAAGCGAGGCATTTTACTTGTCCCAGGAGAGTAGATGACAGCCATCTGTTTAGAAGAGGAAAAGTTTAAAAAAATGCTCAGGGATGAAAAATGCAGCCATCTGTAACTTGCTTCTGCTGATCCCAACTATAGCTCTGACATAGTAATGATGCTAATAGGGTTGTGCAAAAAATCATAAGAGGGACATAAGTCATAAGAGTTTCATTCAATTAATACAACTGGATTTACTAAGGCTTCACAGCACCATGCCCCCATACAAACAAATGAAAATATCCAGTTGCAACAGAGAGAGCCTTCTCCTCTGTGGCCCCCGACTCTGGAACTCATGAGATTAGGAAAGCCCCTACCTTAGAAACCTTTAAAAAGAATATAAAAACCTGGCTTTTCTGTTGCACCTTTGGAGAGTAGTTACACAACATTACACTATTGCTCCCCTCAAAGTTTTTGTCCCTGGAGTACATAACCCCCCCCCCCTTGTATGAAAGCTTCGTTTTTACAACCCCGTTTCCTTATGAGCTCTCCTTTGCAAATAATCTGCTCCTCTTTTATCTCACCCTGAGTTTTAACATTTTGTCTTGTACATGTGGCCTGCTCATTGTCATTGTGATTGTGGATATTGTATTTGTGTATCTCTCACTGTATTTATATGTTTTTATGTATTTACTATGTTGTTGCTTGTGTTTTTGGTTTTTATTTTGTTGCGATTTGTTGTTCAGGCTTGGCCTCAGGCAGGCAAACACGTGGGCAGGCAAGCAGGCATGCAGGCAGGCAAACAGGCAAACAAATAGCTTTCAGCTTAGCGATAGTGAGTGTAGCATGCGAATAGCAACTGGATTGGTTTCAAGAGATTCCTTTTAGGATACCCACAGCCAAGCTTAGGATTCTTTTGGGTTTATTTCCTTTGCATGTGCATATAAAACTTTCAAAAAATTCCTTAAAATTGTGTGGATCTTCCTGAAAGATGACAGAAATGATGCCCTGCTCCTCTTCTGTCGTCGAGGAGAAATTCCATAGAGTACCTGTTTTTTTTTATGGGCAAAACTTTAAAAATTCCCTAAAAATCAGTGAATGTGCAAATCTTTCTGAAACTTGGCATGATTGTAGCAGATAATGTTTTAACTTACTCATTTTATTATCTATACCCACAGATTTTATAAGCATTATATATGAAGCTGTGTAGATCTACTGCATATTATGGACTTCCTGCTTTTAACATTTTGAATTTTTTATCTTAATTCTAATGCTTTTTAATTTAAAAGAATCCCTCTGTTTGTAATGTTTTAATGTTTTACATTCCTGCTCAGTGGCCGTAATAATAAAAATCATTCATTCAACCCCTTGTTGAACTCCTGATTGCTGGTTGAAGAGGAATGGACCTATCATCTTCAGCATCCTGCTTGCTTTGTGCTGCACAACTCTTTCTCTTGCACACACACAGACACACTAACTCAATGCAGAGCAGTCTGGATTTTAAGATAAGTTTGGAAAGCACTTATATTTGGGCCAGTGGTACCACAGTCATAAATGTGATGAGGGAACAGTTACAAGATTACAAGTCTAACTTATGGCATTGTAACTTTAATAATATTCCAGTCTATGTTTCTTTTTTTAATGCTTAAATTAAACTTAGTGAAAATACCTTGCTTCAATGCAGCTATAATGTTAAGTCTTCCAACCAGGCAATAAAGTATGAGAACTGAACCTATATACAAAGTTTCAGTTTCTGCATAGGGATATTCAAGTTCTTCCATTATGTTCTTCTAGCTCTTTGTTGACAGGTTTTCTATCCTCTTATTTCTGAGAGAAAGCACTCTCTGCTCAGAAATAGTTTGTGTAGGCATGTGTGCAATGAATTGTACAAGGTCAAAACAGGCTTATTTATTTTCTCTTTTTCTAGTTTTTCCACTCTGTCTTACAAAATGGGGGTAAATATAGCAACATCAGATCATACTTTTTGACTCCAGTATTGTTATCTTCTTGAAGACTCCTGAGAACAGAGATATGAAAGAGATATTAAACACTTCACTTGGGCAACCACATTGTGTTTGGTGTTTTTGAGCATTTGCTTTTTATTGGAAGCACAGATTTATCAGAGCTGCTTAGGGGCTGTTCTAAATTCACTTTTTAATATTGCACTTTAAAATGCACATTTTTAAATTCTTTTAGTGTTCAGCGCACTCATCTTCAGAAGACTGGGATCCTGCTGCACGCAGTGAAGTGCTGACATCTCAGAAAACAAAATTCATTTTCAGGTATGAACACATTTCTATTTCAATTGTATTGCGCCTTATCTCTTCTAGACTTCAAATAAATTGGTACATCTTTGTAGGAGTCTGCGTATATACATATGCATTATGGTACCATGGCTATATGAGATATTTTCCCCTTAAAGCAATTAGTTTAAGGGGCTTGGCAGTACACTAAAAAAAAGTTCATACTCAGAGGAGCTTAGATTGACTCGAAAACTTCTCCCTTGTTTTAGCTGGAAGCTAAATAGACACAACATGGGAAACTTATGTCCAGATCTTCATGTCATAGGATGAGGGAAGGAGGAAAGAACAGTGGCCGCATGGGAGAGAATAAGTGAAAGGAGCAGCAAGAGAGTATAGGTGGAGTCACTGTGGAGACTAGTCTGTGACTTGTTGATTCAACAAATGACATTGCTATTCTCTCTCTCTCTCTCTCTCTCTCTCTCTCTCTATATATATATATATATATATATATATATATAGCTGTTGTTTTTAACCCTTCATTGTGAAATCATTATGGTTTAGATTCTTTAAAAGGTAATAGAGATTAAAATAGAATAGAAGTGGACTTCAAACACTGTGCATTGTTATAATGTCCTCTCATAGATAGTGTATTTTGCATTGACATTTACATCATGTTTTAATTCTGCGTAGTTCTTTATGACATAGGAAGCAGCAACTGTGGAGCAAGACTGATAAAATAATTGGATCTGAGGTAGTACAGTCTACCGCACAATACAACTGAAAATGTGGGCAGTGTTTGCCTTTATCAGTTGGTAAAGTTTCTTCAAAAATTTGGTAGAATTCCCAAATTATTTTCTTTCATATAAAAGTTTGTTTTCTCTTATTTTTGCTCCCACATGACCTAGGGATTGCTAGTGTTCTCCAAGTTGCAGAGGGATATTTGGAACTTTTCCAGAAAGCTACTACATGCTTTCTCCCCTTAAGTAGGACATTGAGTCATATGTAACACTGTTGATGGAAGAGAGGAAGGTTGCCTTAATCTAGACTAATATCTGGGACAGGACTTGGAGTAATTATTTGCTGAATTGTAGTTAGTGAGCTTTGTGACTTCGGGGGCGGGGGGTGCTTTCCAAAAAGGCAATTTTCCCATGCTCTAATTATGTCTGTGTTTAGCAGCAGCATTTCCTAGTTGTTGTCCTGAAGCTTGGAAGTGAGCAAATATAATCTCAGTGGGTAGCTTCCTGACACTGACGTAATAGGGGCAAGAACTCTTCTAGCTGATTCCTATATCATATGAGAGGAACAGTTTTGTACCTACTTCGAAAATATCACTGAGAAAGGTCATCAACCTCTGTGAAAAGGGCCACAGTTTGGTAGAGGTGAAACCCACCCCCTTCTTGAGAAAGAGTTGCTCAGCATCTGACATGGGCTATAAAACCACTTCCTTATAACATGATGGAAAATCTAGCGGACTTTGTAATAGGCGGGCATTTGAACCCTGGTCTCCCTAGAACACAAGACTTTATTTGATTCACAGCACTGTCATTTCCCCTTTGCATTGAAGTGGGATATATCTCTATGACCTTCTCCACGGCCCTGTTCATAATGTGTTAAATCCCACAATATGTAATCATAATTGCCTCAAATGCTTACTCATGGAAAGCTCTCATCTTTACCATGTTTTCCTTAAGTATCTCATCATACATCATACCTCTTCAGCTAAGCCAAATTAAGAAGAACAAGATCTAAATGAGAGCATTAATTTTAGCAGGTAGTTGGTAAAAGATGTAGTAGATGGCATGGCTGATCTCTGACCCACTGATGGCTTTGAACTGTGGAGGAAGTGATATTAAGGAAAATGGGGTGATGTTTGTGGTAACCTTTCTGCATAGCTGTCACCTTCAATTATGGTACATTAGTATTATTCGTTTTGTCATTCTTGAATGCAAAGATTTCTGTGGCCATATCGCTAACTGACAGAAGTAAGTGAGCTTCTTAATCAGATAAAAGCTTGCCACCTACAATATTCTGAGCTTTGAGTGAGGGCAACTGCGCAGGAAGGGAAAACCCAGCATCCTCTTCCAGGTTCAAACTCATTGTGTCTTATCATTTTAGGATGTTTAAAAGAAAATCTCAGTGGCAGTATTAAAAGCTTCAGTTGCTTGGATTTGCATTTAACACACCAATGTCTTAACCCAAACTTCTGTTCAATTTTTGTTTGATTTTCTGTCAAGATTCCAGTCATCTTCAATTAATCCTTTCAGCATATGCCTACCTCTTTATCTCTCATATTTTCATCTGATTGTCTTGTTAAATGTACTGGATTTGTCAAGAAGACAGAATAAGCAACATACATTTCCCCTTTCCCAAAATAAAGTATTAAGGAATCATCAACTTTTTAATTCAAAATATGAAAATAATTCCTTACACTTTTATAGAATGATGGAATACACGTAGAGGAAGACAGGATTGTTTTGTTTATTAGCACTGTAAGAAATTGGGAGGGAAAGACCGAAAAACAGATCTAAAAATAAGAGGTTTGTTTTAAAAGTAAGCCTAATAAAACCAGATAGTAGAATATTTAATGTGCTCTATAATAACTAATGACTCAAGGCACTCTTACATTTCCATTTCTCAAATTCCCATTCCTGGCCAGGACTTCTTAATTGAAAGATGTTAAAAATAAAACAGTATTATGCTGTAGTTTAGGAATGTGTCACCAGCCATGAAATTCAACCCCACAGCATTACATGTGGAAAAAGAAATGTAATTTTTTGCAAGCCTAATTTTTAAACATGTTTTTTCCATAGTAAAAATAGTCCTGCTAATGAAAAATTAAACCTTGACCATTAGAAAGCAGATACTCAGTTTATTAACACTTTATTCATTGGAATGTGTTCCTTCACCATGTGTTCTATCACGGTCATTCCTGTGCTTGCCTTGAATATTGTTTCAAATGGGATGTGAATTCTGAATCCGCTTTTTTCTAAGTTCACTGATTGCATTAATAAACAGAACTTAAGGAATACAAGGCTTATTATTATGTCAGTTCATTTAATTCATATTTTGGTCCCATCTGTCTTATTGATGACAACATGGAAGGTAGAGATAAAATAACATTGCCACCCTAGTTGAAGGCAATGTGCATATGATCTGAACGGAATAGAGCTTAGAAGCACAAGGTTTTAATGGCTGACAAATATTTCATTTACTGACTCTGTATCTGACTTTATTTGTTCCTCTACATCCACAGATTCAACTATCCTCAGCTTGAAAATATTTGAAAAAATTAGTTCCAAAAAGCAATTCTTGATTTTACTGTTTTATATAACAGACACCATTTTGCTATATAATGTGACCTGAGCATCCATGCATTTTCATATCCACAGGAGTCTGCAACCAAATCCCAGCAGACACCAAGCCTTGATTTAGACTACCCTATATCTTAGGATCTGATCCCAGATTATCTCTTTGAACTGGATTATATGAGGGCCCTTCCACAAAGCCATATAATTCAGAATATCAAGACAGATAATCCACAATATCTGCTTTGAACTGAATTATTTGAGTCCACACTGCCATGTAACCCAGTTCAATGTGGATTTTATACAGCTGTATGGAAGGTGCCTGAGACTCCACTGTCATATAATCTGGGATAATCAGATAATCTGGGATCAGATCCTGGGGTCTAGGGCAGTGTAGATTCAGCCTCAGATAGCATTATATTATATTCATTGGTCTAGCTCAATGGTTCTTAATCTTTGGTCCGCCAGTGTTTTGGACTTTAACTTCCAGAAATCCCAGCCAGTTTACTAGCTTTAAGGAATTGTGGGAGCCAGAGAACCAGAAGTTGAGAACCACTGCTCTATCTTAAGATGGATATCTAATTATGTTTACAAAACCTCCTTCGGATCACAGTATCATGCTTTCTATGCAAAGAGAAGAATGTTATAGACCACATTTACTGTCGCTCACTCTTACCATTTTTTTAAGCATCTTTCCTGAAAAGGCATTCTGAAAACAGCAGTTTCTGTCAGGTCAAGCCTTCTGCTTGTCTTACAGATTTAAATGCAGCAGAATAATTACCTTCATTTGCATTGTTTTGGGGTATCTTTTCTTGTCCTAGGTAAAACAAGTTTAACTTAATCCCCTAGCTTGGGTCTTTTGATGTCATGCTTTAAGTCTTCCACCTTGAATGGAAGTAATGTCTCTACTGTTTCAGAGTTAGTTTGTTTAGAACCCAAAGATAAAAGCAAGGTATATTTCTGCTTTCACTGTGCATTTTGGCAAAGTTGTACAGTGATGTCTTTTCAGATTGGGTAATCTGATTATGCCCTATGTTGAGGAAGTTGGAAGAGAAGCCTACTTAACTGCATTATCCAGACATAGGAGTTGCGTGTCTTGCACAGCTTTTTCAGCTTAGTCTGAGATTTCTCTCAAGTCTGAAAGTTTAGTTCAGCCTTTGTGTGAGGTGCAGTACTTGTCTGGGCAGCCTGCCAGTTATTGCACACTTGACCACAACAGCTGTTTTTCCTGTTTTGTTGCCTGTTTAATTTCCTGCAGTGTTGTGGATTTAATCAGTAGATAATGCTTTGTGTTGATTGACTCAGTTTCCTGATTACCTTGTATGACTTCCCTTATGCTGTCATATACAACACACAAATATCAGCCTTCACTAAAAAATTCCTTGGGCAGTATCTGATCTCCATCAGGTATAAAATAGAAAGTGTGCCTAAAGGATTATGTCAGCCTGAAGGGAACCTTTATTCACATTACATTGTGGTCTGACTGTATTATTATGTATTAATGATGAATATACTGACTTTTTGGACTATTTGAGTTGATTGAGATGGTATGCATCTTGTGAGCATTATTGGATTCATCATCAAAGACTGTGCTTGCAACGGGATTATTTTTCTTACTATTAGATGTACACATCTCTATATGTTCTCGATTCTCTTATGCCAAATCATCCAGATTTATTTGTTATGTCCACTAAAAATAGCCAGAGCAGGTTGGTGCTGGCACATTCTCAAAAC